AAAGGCCTATAAATTATTATACCATTCAGTAGATGAACAATATAAAGGAATATTTCAGTGTGCTACAATAAGGGCTTTTCTAAAGTCAATGTTGTTGCACACAGTCCCATTCTTAATGTGAAATAACAAGTGCTTTTAGAAGTGGATAGGGTGGGTTCAATGTGAAATTCAGCAGAAATGAATAATCTAGGAAGCTGAAATGCTTGGTATTAGACTTTCACCATTAAAGAGATACAGAATCTGCCTTAAGCCACATCCACCCTACCCAATGGTGCACTGAGCTGTAGGGCTATTTGTTACCGAGCTGCACAAGAAACCTGCCTACCCAAGGATTACTAAGCTCTAGCATTGTCCTGGAGTCTGATACAAACCAGGGAGGTGACATCATTGAAACACCATTAACTTTAACATTTTAATTGGCAGAGACACTACAGACAGGAAGGATTTATGTATGGGGTGACCAATGGCCAAAGTGTGGGTTTGGGGTAACTGGAGGTCATGAAACATTTTCAAATACTGCAATTCTAACTTGCTCTGGTAACTAGCTGGCTGCTTAAAGGAATCTGACACACCCACTAACTTGACGATTAATCCAAATTTCAGATGACTGACTGTATTCTGATACTGATCCTGTTAATAATAAATCAGTGGAACAGAGATCAAAAGTTCTGGCAATTCTCCAGAATCACAGTTTCCACAGCTTGCTGCTTCATCCAGCAGTAAATCTGCTCTCCAAACTGCTGGGTACAATAGCAGCAAAGTTGGTGTGGAGCAATTTCCAGCCCACTATTGCCCTCCAAATGTCCCAGTGTGATGAGCAAAGTATAACTGCACTCTACACAGTACATAGAACAAAAGGGCACAGCACCAATCACTCGAGATTAATTTCTCAGATAAACTACTGATGTCACAAGTAGCAGAGCTCAAAAAACAAGTTAATCCCATCGCCCACACGCACCACAATAAAACAAGTAACAACGTATCCAGAACAAGCAACATCAGCCTGGTCCACCGTAACCTCTTGTACCTACGCTCTACCATCCCAACAACTCTTAACACCCACCGTAAACCTACTTTTCACTTATTTTATACCCATTTAGCTTGGTTTACTTTGAAGTAATATTTTGGATTTGTTTCATAGGCAATAGAATTTAGTATTTGATATGGTATAATGTTTCTCTAATCCTTTTCTTTAGATTAAAGAGCTAGTATTTCTCTAACGTTCTGACCCTTTCACACTTGAGATTATTCCTTCTACTCCCAGTCCCTCTCTATGACTGATGTAGAATGCTCGGTCAACTGAGAATTACGGCCAGCTTCATATGATGAATACTTTGGCCAGCACTCTGGTAACATAGCAACCTGGATGTCCTATCCCAAAGGCTGCAGAGTACAGAACGTTAGCCTTCCTGCTCCTCTGATGCTGCTTGGCCTGCTGTGTTCATCCAGCTCTACACCTTGTTATCTCAGAGTACAGATTAGTTCATTTTCCAGTATTTCAATATTTCCCCTGCCCTCCCCTTCAGACAGTAGTTGTACCTTCACAACCAGCTTGCAGGCAAAGTAGAAAAGCGTCACTACTCTCCCCCAGTTGATGACTCCGTCAGCAAACTGTTCCTTGGCCACTCTGAAAAACATTTCCTTCGGGCATTGGTTGCCAATGTTTTCGATCATCCTGTGTGTAGGAGAAACTTCAAATTAACTGTGCTGACTACTATAACCAAACAGATTAGATAACAGGATGCAAGGCTGAAACTGAAATGAGAAATTCACAACCACAACAGCATTAGATCATATATGCTGCATTGTTCAGCATTCTGGTGAGTGTTTCCTTCACTTTTTAAGGCTTTATTTGCCTCCCTGTCGTAGGACCTGATCACAAGGTTATGAGCGTTAGTGAGCAGCAGATTCCAGGACACAAGGCTAGAAAGGTTCACATGCTGTGGTACTGCCAAGTTTGTAATATTACTCAATGCAACACGTTATACAAAACCAAAAAACAGAAGTCTCACAGGATCCCACTCATTGATCCTGCAGAACAGACAATCTACAAATTTAGTCTGCAAAAAATTTGACATTAAATCAAGCAACTTGTAAATACCATTAGGTGGGTCATTTGGATCAACTTTTAAAAAGTTAATTCACAAAATGGGGGCGTCACTGGCTGGGCCAGCATTTAGTGCCCATCCCTAATTGCCCTTAAGAAGGTGGCTGTGAGCCGCCTTCTTGAACCAATGCAATTCTTGGGATTTAAGGACAATCTGAATGATGGTAGGGAGGAAATTCCAGGATTTTTCACCCAGCAACACTACAGGAACAGCCAATATATTTCCAAGTCAGGATGGTGAGTGGCTTGAGGGGAACTTACTGTGGTGCTGCCGTGCTTTGAAATGATTGGTTACTACACAAGGACAAACAAGGCAAGGGAATACACGATGAAAGTTAGGACCCTGGGAAGCACCGAGGATCACAGGGACCTTGGTGTGCACGTACACCAGTCCATGAAGGTAAGGGGCCAGGGGATAAAGTATTTAAGGCATATGGTAGACTTGCCTTTATTAGTCGAGAAGTACAGTTTAAGAACAAGGAGCTTATGTTGGAACTGTATAAGTAGGTGGTTAGGGTATAGCTAGAGTATTGTGTGCAGTTCTGCTTAATCCCATCAATCTACTGACTGAGGATGCCTGAATTCAGTTTCCAATTCCATCTCCCCAAGAAACCTCTGATTGAAAGTTGATTCACCCAATGGTGTAGACAGAATTGAACAAACTGACTAGTAAGAAGATGAAGAGTCTAGTAAATAATGGGAGCTGAGGTGGCAGGCCAAGGATACTCGTCATTGGGCTGGATCCTCACCTCTGTAACTCCACATTGCTGTCGAGCTCATCCCCAATTTGTCGCAGGCAAGCTCCAAGACGCTCTACCTCAGGGTTATAAAGTTCATCCTCTTTACCTCCGAGCTCTGTGATGGTTAAAGGCTTCTCACAACCCTCGGCTCCTCGATTTGTCCGATCAATGATAAATCTGAAATTTTAAAAATCTTATTATTGTGCAAAAGCTATAATAGAATTCCAGTGCAGTTGGAGATTATTCAGCCCTTAGGCTCTTTTCACCTGAATCTGTTCTCTGCTCATTTCTCAATGGCCTTCAGTTTAATTCTGGTTCTTAGGAACAAACTTGATGTTATTAAGTTATTTATCACTGATCAGATATCCTGTAACAGCCACATATTAACATTTGACTAACACGTGACCCCCACTGTCTCTAATCAACTGCAAAATCAGGTATTCTCCATTTCAAGAGACTTGTTCCAGATCTCCCACAATTCTTTCCCTATGGTGAACCAGTCTGACATCATTAGCTTCCTGAAAAGCATATTCTTAACACAATGAAGCAACCATTCTTCCTCCAGGGTTAATACCACCTTCACTCCTTTGGAAAAGACACAGTCTGCAAGGCTCCAATCTTAGCAGTGCTAAAAGGAAAGTCAGTAATTCCTGAATTTCCAATGACCCAGTGAGAGTGTTGAGGTAGCAGAAGGGAGGTAAACCCTTCCTAAAAATAATCTACTTAAAATGAACTCTAGGTAATTTAGACAACAA